TGTGTCAGGGACTGGCTGGAAGGTGCAGTGTGTGTCAGGGATTGGCTGGAATGTGCAATGTTGTGTGTGTGTGTGTGTGTGTGTGTGTGTGTGTGTGTGTGTTGGGGACTAGCTGGAAGGTGCAGGGTATGTGTCAGGGACTGGCTGGAAGGCACAGTGTGTGTGTCAGTGTGTTAGGGACTGGCTGGAAGATCCTGCAGTGTATATTAGGTACTGCATGCACAGGGCTCTATCCAAGCTCTCAAGGGAGCATCAGGGCCGCTTTGGGACTCTCAGGAGTCTCGAGGGGACCCGGAGAAAGGAGGCAGCAGGGTGACGGTTCGGCTGTGGCCCCTCAGCAGTGAGTCACCGTTCCAGGGCGCCAGGCCCCTGCAGGTGAGGCTGAGACGGCCAGATGCCCCGGGGAACCTTCAGGCTTCGCGCCTCTTACCTCCCACAGGTGGATGCTTTCTGCAATTCCTGCCAGGACGTAGAGGCCGTTGGGTGACGTGGTCAGACAGGTGACGGGCCCGGGGCACATGATCTTCTGCTGGAGCTGGTCCTAAGGAGGCACCATCAGCCCCGTAAGCTTCGAGCAGCACATGGGAGTCCCCAGAGCAGGGGAGAGCGAGGGGAGGGGACGCCTGGTCAGCGAATAAGTCAGAGCACCAGGAAGAGGAGTTAGGAGCAGTGCGGTCTTAGCAAATGCATGGTCCAGGGAGGAAGAATTTGCCCCTGCAAGAGGCTGTGAGGCTGGACGTGGAGGATGTGAGGAGGCTGGTACTTCCTCTCAGGGCCAGAGGGGCCCTGGGTGGGAGGAGCACAGAAGCAGAATAAGAGGACCCAGAAGGACACTGGGGTCCAACAGCCCAGTAGGCTTGTGTCCCAGGCCTACCCATAACGGGCAACCTAAGACCCCAAGCCTCAGCTTCCTCCTCCCTAAAATGGGAAAAATCGGCCAGGCGTGGTGGCTCACGCCTGTAATACCAGCACTTTGGGAGGCTGATGGGGGCGGATCACTTGAGGTCAGGAGCTTGAGACCAGCCTGGCCAACACAGTGAAACATGTCTCTACAAAAAATACAAAAATCAGCCGGGTGTGGTGGCATGGGCCTGCAGTCCCACGTACTCGGGAAGCTGCGGCTCCAGAATCGTTTCAACCCTGGAGGCGAGACCGCACCACTGCACTCCAGCCTGGGCGACAGAGTGAGACCCTGTCTCAAAAATAAAATAAAATAAAATAAAATGGGAAAATTTCATGAGTTAGACTCCATCGAGCCATGCCAGAGCACAGAGCCAGTCCCAAGAGCTCTCGGCTGGCGGACAGGGGAAGCAGGCAACCTTGGGTGTTGGGCTGCATTTTGGGCTCTGGGTTAGAGGGGAAACGGTGGGCGATTTCTGCATCTGTTTCTTTTTTTTTTTTGAGACGGAGTTTCCCTCTTGTTACCCAGGCTGGAGTGCAATGGCGCGATCTCGGCTCACCGCAACCTCCGCCTCCTGGGTTCAGGCAATTCTCCTGCCTCAGCCTCCCGAGTAGCTGGGATTACAGGCACGCGCCACCATGCCCAGCTAATTTTTTGTATTTTTAGTAGAGACAGGGTTTCACCATGTTGACCAGGATGGTCTCGATCTCTTGACCTCGTGATCCACCCACCTCGGCCTCCCAAAGTGCTGGGATTACAGGCTTGAGCCACCGCGCCCGGCCGGGTCTCGATCTCTTGACCTCGTGATCCACCCGCCTCGGCCTCCCACAGTGCTGGGATTACAGGCTTGAGCCACCGCGCCCGGCCATCTGTTTCTTTATAGGAGATAAAAATGCATGAGGCTCCTGCGCCACCCCTTCATGGGAGACTCCACCAGACCTTGGTCCTCCTCCGTCTTCCTTTAGAACCGCAACACAGGCCGGGCGCGGTGGCGCACGCCTGTAATCCCAGCACTTTGGGAGGCCGAGGCGGGTGGATCACGAGGTCAAGAGATCGAGACCATCCTGGTCAACATGGTGAAACCCCGTCTCCACTAAAAATACAAAACATTAGCTGGGCATGGTGGTGCGTGCCTGTAATCCCAGCGACTCAGGAGGCTGAGGCAGGAGAATTGCCTGAACCCAGGAGGCGGAGGTTGCGGTGAGCCGAGATCGCGCCACTGCACTCCAGCCTGGGTAACAAGAGCGAAACTCCGT